ATTCAAGTAGGAAAGTCTATCTCAAAACCTACAAACATACCATTATCTCTTAAATGTGTCTATTGAAACAAAACGTGACAAATAAGATTCTCTAAGGAAAATATTTTGAAATTCAGAAAATGTTTTCAAAATGATTAAGAGTTGTTTGTAGTAAATGTTCTCTGAGAAAAATCATATTTTGCTTATGAATGCCATGTAAGGCAAATGGCCAAGGACATTGCTAATCTTTCATATAAACATTTTAGCTTTATTTTCATCCAATTGTATCTCATTTGGCTGTTTTTTCACAATACTCTGTTCTGTTGTGCATGCTCATTTAAAGGCAGCATTCTTAGATAAAAAGTGTGTGTCAATGGTGCAATGATCCAGTACTACAGTGCAGTTTTAGTATACATTCTGTGCTATAAGTTTAAAACATTTTTTAAATGTGATAATCAATTGCGTGCCCTTTTCAAACAATGGATAATATTGAATGTGTGTGTTTGTACGGATAATACATGCATACACTCATTCATTCATTCATGGGGAAAAGTGCTTTTTATCTGTTTATACTGCATTAATCAACTCTAGATGGTAAAAATAAAAAAGCAATCCTTAAAGGTGAACTTCCCTGACTTGAACCATAATATAATTAAAACACAGTTACCTAATAACCATCAATTCAAAATCAATTTCTGCTTTAGAAAGCAGAAACTTTGGAGCTCAGCAGAATGTCTAGGCTGAAGGGATTAGTCATAGCTCAACCATCAGCATGTTCCACATTATTGAGGCAACTACTGAGAAGGCCTGCTTTCTGTGATCTGAAAATGCCCATTCTATCTCAAGCAAGAACTGGACTTTGAGCAAACCTTTCCTTGATGCTCTTACAAAGCAGGAAGAATCAAGTTTAACTACAGAAGTTGTGGGTGCTCTATCACAGGAGGTTTTCAAGAAGGCAGCCATTTGGCCAGAATGGTTTAAGTTCTCGTGCTTGAACAGGAGGTTGGAGTAGACCTCCAATCTTATTATTCTATATTCTATTTGGGTTAAGTGGTTCCTGATGTTTCTCTGGTGCTCTACTATAATTTAGTAGTGGTAGCCAATACTTTAAATTGGATCCTGAGGTTTACTGACATCAGTACAATGATTATATAATAGGTGTTATCTTGGTAGGATACTGGACTCTGAATCCTATGCAGAGGCAGAGGTGGGATACTGCTGGTTCACACCAGTTCGGGCGAACTGGTAGTTAAGATTCTGTGCAGTTCGGTGAACCAGCAAATCCCACCCTGTTCATTTTTTGGCCTGTTTTCCAGGCTGTTTTGCGAGCCAAAAATGGACCTGAACCCCCCCCCCCCAAACAGGCCAAAAAACAGTGGGGTGTGTGGCTAGCCAGTGGTGGGATTGCCTTCAAGGTGAGTTGCCGGGAGGCAGGGCTTGGTGTGATGAGTAACATGACTAACCGGCCACGCCTACCCAGCCAGAGAACTGGTTATAAGTTATTCAAGTCCCACCAATGGATTGATGTGTCTTCCAACGCAATCCACATGGAGCATGCTGCAGTAGTTATGCCATGTGGTGACTGTAATGATGTGTATGTTTTATGCTATATTTCAAGTTCAATTGTTAGGCCTAGCTCTTTAAGAAGGTTAGGAAACAGTTAACTTTTTTAATGACATCATCTGGGGCAGAAGGCAGTTTTAAGATGGCTGCTGCTGAATAAACACAAGCTCCTTACTGTCTGCCTTTACTTTATGCCAGATCATCACATGGTATCAGGGGTGAAATGAGAAGAGTCATGGCAGCAAACAGCAACACAAAGA